AACAAATACCATAAACAAAGTTAGAACGCAAATAATGAACTGCAAAAAATATCTGCTACATATTTGACAAAAAATTAATTCCCTCAACTAATAAAAAGCTCTCCCATTCAATAAAAAATAAACATTCCAAAGGAAAAATGGACAAAGTGGATGTGTATATTTCATTAAAAATACACATTATAAATAAGTACGAGAACAGTTTCATCCCCCGATTAAACAAAGAAATTTCAATTACAATAAGGTGCAGCTCTGGGGAGTATTTGCAGATGGCGATGCCTAGCGCGGGCGGAGTGAAAGCAGGCACATTTACGTGTTTGTGGGAGAACTGTGGACTGGCCCCACTTTCCAGTGGGCAATTTGGCACTATGCCAAGTGTTCATTCTCTTGGATCCAATAATCCTCATCGTTTCTCCACGTTTATCTTAAGGGAATGATTGCCTCTTCACACGCAGGCTAATGCACATGGGTTCAATGTGCCTTTAGTGAAAATGAGAAACTGGCAATAAAGTGCATATACCATAATAAAGGATGAGTTAAATAAATTGTCCTCCAGCAACCATATTTTCTTTTTTTTAAATATGGTTTATTTTTTAAAGATTTTATTTTTATTTATTTATTGTTTTTAGAGAGGGGAAGGGAGGGAGAAAGAGAGAGAGAGAGAAACATCAGTGTGTGGCTGCCTCTCACATGGCTCCCCACTGGGGATGTGGCCCGCAACCCAGGCTTGTGCCCTGACTGGGAATCGAACCTGCGACGCTTTGGTTCGCAGCCCGCGCTGAATCCACTGAGCTACGCCAGCCAGGCCAACATAAAGTATTTTCATCAACAGAAAGTGGTCATCACTGTTTCTAAGGTCTGTATGCTAGTACCATGGGGTGTTACATAGAGCCGGGGAAAACCCCCTGGAAGCCAAGAAGTCATTTAGTCTTCCAGGTACAAGGTCACGAGGACCAGGGAGGGGGGCGGTGCTGAAAGTGAGAATTCAGAGGAAGAAAAACATTTCCTATCTGGTGCTGTCTAATATTGTCGACATTAGTCATGCGGGGCTATTTAAATTTAAGTTAATGAAAGTTAAATAAGATTTTAACTCCATTTCTTAGCTGCATTCGCTGTATTTCAAGTATTGCTCTCAAGTTGTTGAGAGCCGCAAGTGCCACTGGCTACAGCATCCGGCCGCAGGGACCACAGGGTGACCTGAAAGTCCCACCACCCAGCGCCGCTGGAAATGTTCTTCCTCAAGCCTGGGCCTGGCTTTGGGCTCGTCCCTTCTCCCTCATCTCTTGGTACACCCTCTCTCATCCTCACGTTCCAGCAACAAGAGCGTAGGCACGGGAACAGCCCAGGATGCATCTGTCTGGGTCTCCCAGTCCAGTGGCAACGGCGTATCGCCCAGGTCATTACACACCGTGGAAGAGCGTCGTGTGCGCGGACTGTGGACAGAGCACAGAGCTCAGGGCCAGGGAAGCCTTCCCAAAGCAGGAGGGGTGGGCATTATCCAACAAGGAGAGGAAAGACTATTCTAAGCAGAGAAAGGAGCAAGGCTTGAGTAAAGGCACAGACGAGAAGAGGCATGGCCTAAGAGAAGAATTACCAGCTGGTCAGGCATCAACTCACTCAACAGAGAGTAAATGTCTGTGACGGCCCAGGCCCGAGCCAGGTTCTGGGGACAGAGCAGTGGACAGGACAGCAGTGCTCCTGTTCTCAGGATGCTTATACTCTGGCCCAGCAGTGCGAGCACCTCAGGGGTGAGGCGAGGTGGGCGAGGACCTCACTTCTCGTATCTAGGATCCTGCTTTGCTTTGTTTTTTTTAGTCGAGCAAGTGAAGCCTCTTTTTGGCCTCAGCGAGGACCAGAGTCCTCTCTCCTGTCTCCTTGTCTCCCACCCCAGTCCCCATCGCTGCGGAGGGAGACGGAGGGTTCCTGGGGCAGGCTGGCGGTGGGGGCGGGGTGGCTAGGTGGCGGAGGAGCACAGCGGACAGTTTCGGTAAGACCCCTCCTGCGGGCAGTGAGGATGGGGATTGGAGAGGAGGGAGAAGACAGACGGGAGGTCTGGTGGGGAGGCTGCTGGAGTCATCTAGAAGAAGCGCAGGGGGAGGGGGTGGAGCTGAAAAATGGCAGGGCCAACTTCAGTGATGCCGGAGCGGGAGAAGGCACTCCAAGTTAGGAAAATGCTCGCCGAGGGAATGAGTCTGGCAGAGCGGAGGGAGCGCCGTGCAGCCCGTGTTTGTGGGTCAAGGTTCCAGGGAGGAGAAGGAACTGAACACCTCAGGGGAGTTCCCCAGGCCAGAGGAAGGGGGCCAGGCGGGGCACGGGCACTCGCGGCGGGGGAAGGGGGCCCGCGGGTCCGAGAGGCGCGAGGGGCTCGCCGGCCGCGCCAGGATGGGCGGGGCGGCGAGGCAGCAGGTGTGCACGGCCCGTGGAGCGAGGACGTGGAGCCTGCTGCCGGCCGGGGTCCTGGGGCAGCGCAGAACTGCTCCCAGGAAGAGGAGACCTTCCTGGGGTTTAGTGGGGCTATTCCCCGCCCTTGTCCTTGAGCAGTTTACAAGAGGCAGGCAGGGCACGTTCGTTTCGCCACAGCCTGAAATCCGCCCAGAACCACCGCTTTGCTCGGGGCCTGCCACAGAGCCGACGCTTTGCGGGACTCTCGTCAGGTCTGGGTTCCCGACGCTCCAGGTGCTTCTCTGGAGCGACCCCCCTTCCGCACCTGCCTCTCAGGCGCCCCAGTGCCCCCCAACCCCTGTCCGCTTGGCCCGGGCGCCTCGCCCGATACCCTCAGACCGCCCGCCCGCAGCGACCCCTCCCTGCGCTGCCGCCTCGCAGCCCCTGTTTCCCTCCGACCGTCACCCCCTTTTGCCCCCCGCAACGCGGCCGTCTCCCGCTTCCGCCCCTCCCGGCCGCGGTACCTGGGGCTCTCGAAGCTGCACCCCCTGCGCCGCAGCGCCGCCCTCTTCTGCCGCAGGAGCGCAGCTGCCTCCCCACCAAACTCCGGCTCCATCGCCCCGGGCGGGGACCGCGGGCTCGGGCGCACTCGGGTGGGCTCGGGCTTCGGCGGGGCTCGGCGGGGCTCGGAGGGCCGCTCGGCTCACGCGCTGCAGCCCACGCCCCGCCCCGAGCACTCCGGCCCCGCCCAGAACTTCGGCCCCTCCCACTCCTTGCTCCTCCGAGGGGTCCAGGCCCCGCCCTGGCCTCCCCACCCCCAGAACTTCAGCCCCTCCCACTCGACGCTCCTCCGCTGAGCTCAGCGCCCCGCACCAGCCTCTCCCGCACTCCTGCCACGCCCATCCCGCGCCGGCCCCCCTGGGGTCCCCGGTGCCACCTCTCTGCATCTCTGCTCGGCCTACACTCACCAAACGCCCACTCTGGAAGGTCTACGACCCCGCCCCTCCCGCTTCTGGCCCCTCAGCACTGACCCAGGCCGCACCCACCTTCCGCTCCACTACTGAGCTCAAGCGGGGCCCCTGCCCTCACCCCAAGAGTCAGCTTTCTGGAGCGTTGCTCCTCCACAGCTCAGTATCCCCCGCCCTTTCTAAGGAAGCACTGCTCCTCTGGAAGCCGCCCTTCCCGGTGATTCGCCTACAGGCACGGCTCCGCCTTTTCTCTCCAAAGCCCCCAGACTGCAGGGCTCACTCCAGCGACCCTCCGCAACCCCGCGGGGGCCGGAGCTCTGCCCTCAGCCCCGCCCCAATCTGGCTCCGCCAGCGCTCCTGGCCCCGCCCATTCCAGCTCAACTCCTCCGGCGCCGAGACCCCGGTTCCCTGTGCGCAGGAGTACCATGCCCTCCTTCGGGGCTAAATGGGCATTCTCCTGCACAGTCGGCGTTAGCTCGCAGATCTCTCCATCGACCAAGAGGCGATATTCCGGCCTCCTGGAGGTCGTTTGTGGCGCCCGACGCAGTGAGCCTGGGGGCTGGAGCTTTACAGGCTACCAACCGTGGGTTCGAGTTTTCACTGCATCATTTTCCAGCTGTGTGACAACCATCACACCCCACCGTCTTCACCTCCTCCCCAAGTCAGATGCTCTGGTCTCAGAGTCTTAGACACTCCGCTGGGGCCGAGGGCAGCGACCCCATCTGGCTAAAGCTGGGGACCACTGTGCCATCTACGCTGGGAGCGGCAGGTGCACTAGGGTCGCCCTGTTAGCAGGGCGTGTCTTGGCTGGGGAAGTGTGGCCATTCCGGCCTGGAACTGGCGTGGTGGAGTAGAGCCTGAGCAGTGTGTGGGGGAAGCTTGTGCTCGGAGAGTCGGCCACTGCAGCGCCGGAAGGCACTGGCTGGGAAACTGAAGCGGGCAGGGTGGGGGCTGCCAGGTCAACCTGGATCAGGCCCCTCCCTGGTGCACGCTGCCTGAGGAACTTGCTTCCCTGGGACTCTCTTGCTTGCTGCACCGTCCAGCAAAGAAACCAGTCTGGAGAGGGAATGAAGGGGCGGGAGAAAGATGTCGGCGAGGGCCTTCCGTTTCTCCTTCTGGCCTTGAGACCCCACTTTGCTCCTCCCCTCAGGGTTCCCGAGACAACCCTCGTAAAACAGCCTCCCTGCCTGGTACGGCAGCCTCCTGTTCTCTCTTAAGCAAGCTCGAGTGGGTTCTTGGCTTCTGCTTAACATCGTGAATTCGCTCTAGAGTACATGTCCTTTCAGACTTGGGTCTCATTACTCCCCCAAGCCCTTCACACCGCGAGACTGGGCTGGTTGCTGTTCCCGCCACCATCCTGCTCTTCCTCCTGTCAGTCTCTTTGCCTTCTCCGCCCTCCATGTGTCCAGAGGTCTCTGAAATGAATCTCCAAATGTCCCCTGTCCTCTAAAGCGCCCCCAGGTCCCCCACCCCCCTCCCTGAGTATCCGCAGCACCGACTGTCCTTCCTGACACCGCTGCTCCTACATGCCATTCACGTTCTATTAACCTCTTAACTGGGCCCCGGCCACCTCGCACCCCCTTCGTGTCTGCGTCTGGCACAGCAACTGTTTGCTACGTGGGATGCACGTGACTTTAATAAATTGAGCAATAGTCATTGGAAAACACATTTAATTTCAAAGTAAACAAAGATGTTTGTACATTAAAGTATTTAATTAGTGAAACAATTATTATCAGTGTAACAAGCTGAAAAATACAGCAACTTGATACAAGACTGAGGTAACAAAATACTTCACCAAAATCTAAAGAACCCCGGAGAGCTGACGTTCAGTGTTACGGTGGGTGAGACACTTCGCGGGAATCAGAGAAAGTCCTTACACAACCGCATGCAGGGGGTCTGCTGGGGAGAAGACAGACCGAGAGAGGCAACAGAGTCAACGAGAAAAGGAGTAGAAGGTAGAAACTGATTTTCAACTTACTTTGGAGAATACGTAAGAAATTGGTACTTAAAATACTCTCTACGCAACGTTTTGAATGCTAAGTGAAAAACCATGCATTTTGGCACAAAATTTATTTGAAGATCATACCATACAATAAATTAATCACTACCGTTTCGTCACCGACCGGTCACAGCTGCTCAGAAACGGGTGGAGACATTGGTCTCCATGGCGCTGCGGCTGCAGACGGGGACTTGGGGCTGCCTCTGGCGTGCACCCCACGGTGCAGCCTGCGAGGTGGCCCACAGCGCGAGGTCTCAACACTCCAGAAATGCAGCTCTTGCCCGCACTGTGCTTGCATTTACCATGAAATTAAAGCCAAGACAACCTCTCGAGTACACACTGTGAACACGCTGACCCTGCTCTCGTTCCCCCTCGGAGTCCTCTGCGTGCCCAGCCGCGCCTGCCTGCTCCACTCCGGCCAGCCTCCAGGGTGGAGACTCCAGCGAGCCCTCCTGGCCCCTGAACTCTCGGGTCAAGAGGCTGTTCAGTCTGTGGAGCCTCCTGAAGCCTCTGTCAGGGAACCCGCGCAGGGTGTCTACTCGGTGCTGGGAGAGAGGCAGGGTCTTGCCGGAGGAGATGCAGTGTGAGGGCTGTTTGTTTGATGAGTGGTCAGCTCGTCGAGGGCAGGATCGGTCCCTCTTGCTTTCAGTCCTGTACATCCCGGGGAGAGCCTGGCACACAGGAAACACTCGCTAGAAACATGAGCGAACGAATGAATGGGTGGTTTTGTGCAGCGAATCTGTTCTTTCAAAGGGACTCGTTATTTTTTTCTTTTTTGAACATGGAATCACCCCACACGTCAGTGTGACGTGGGGCTGATTGAAGTCATTTACGCGGCCACCGGAAATAAGCGAGGCTGTGAGTTTGGCAACGTTCACCTGATCACACGCATCGGCGGTGCGGGAGGCGCTCTCGGCTCCACCTGTCTGTCAGAGGGCGTCCTAACAGGTGCGCGTCTTGGGCTACGGAGGTGGGAGGAAGATGATGAAAGAAATACTGGCCATCTTGGCAAGAAGAGAAATGCTTTGTAAATTCAGTTGGCAAGAGAGGGTGGGGTTCTTTCCCAAACAGAATCCCCTCAAGTGTCTCCCTTTTCAGGTTCCGCGGTGGGACAGGGTGATGACGGGCTTCCTCGGGGAAGCAGAGAACGCGCGTTTTCACTGAGCATGCTCAGACCAGCGTTTCTACTGCTGTCCGTCAAATCAGTCCCCCAGGAAGTACTTCAGTCATCAGAACTCGCTCGGCTGACCTCGAGTTACAGAACGTGCTCGATGGAAAGGGGTGAAAATGTGTTCGATGCAAAGGGAGCTGTTCTTGGGCATCGTAATGACACCAACGACCGACCAACCTACTCCTGTCTGTAGACAGCGTTCTGTGTAAGTTTCCTTTTGGGATGTCGTGACCTGTTTGCTTTAAAAAAAAAAAAAAGATACAGCCTATGCATGCAAGACATACCATCTTCAATGGTTTCACGAACATCTGTGCACTATGGACATAGAGCAAAAGCCGGAAACGCTTCCCTCCGGGGTCAGAATCCAGTCTCGGACCTTCCCCCTTGGGCTCCGTGCCCGCCCCTCCTGGCCCAGCCTCACGGGCCTCCTCACAGGCAGCCCGGGGGGCCATCCATCTGCTCTTCACTCAGACGCTTGGCCCCAGCCCCTGCTGGGGGAGCCCAGGGTCTCTCGGCTTGTCTCCAGGACCCTCCTGTAGTTCAAGGTTTTTACCAGTTCTACAGGGACTTCGCCCATGAGGTCTTCAAAGATTCTTCAAGAATCCAACCTAAGAATATTTCCAGGAGGGGATGTGGGATCAGTGTCGATCAGTGAAAAGACTAACAAACACTTTGAGAAGAATAGCAGTTGTGCTATTTCAAAATGGGCTCGGAAGAAAACATTTGTGGAAGAGAAGAAAAACTTGTCAAAGGCAGAAAATGATCGGACTTAGTGGAGCCTGAAATTCTGAGGTTTTTGGACTGACATCTGTCATGTGTCACGGGAGCAAACCCAGGACAACGGAAGAACGGAGAACACCAAGGAAAATAACGTTGCTGATGTTCCATTCTGGCACGTCCATCCAGACTTGAGACTTTTAAAAGATTAACAGGCGGAATCAGATGGAACGCAGGTTCGAGCCAACGGGGACTGGTTCTGGTGAGAGATGTTGGGGGCGTTCGGCGTCTCCATCTGGCCTCTGGATGCTGATTCTCGGCCGGCGCCATGAACCAGGTGCGTGCATGCAGACCCCAGCTGCTGCGGGGGGGGTGCGCATGGCACCAAGGGCCGCGGTGTGACGGCCTCGCCTTGGCCGTTGCGGTTTCTCCTGGTGTGAAAGCACTCCAGACTGGGCCCCGAAGGGGGGCGCGTTACCAGGCCCGGCGAGGCTCGACCACAGAAAAAGGCCCCTGGTGACGACCTTTCCTCACCGACTCCTTCACACTTGCAGAAACGTTGTCATCCTTTGATCGAAATGCACCGGTGGGTCCTTTGGTTGTTCTGGAGCTGACCGATCGTTCGTGGTGGACCGGCTGAGACGTCGCTCTGAGGCATCTGCCCGGAAACCGCCGGGGCGGTCCGACATCCGTCGTCTGATCTGTGGGAGCTACGGAGCTGTGACGGCAACGAGGACTCAGAGACGGCTTCGTCCCAAGTGCCAGTGCAGATTTCCTTCTCAGAGCTAAGATGCCCAGGTTGGGGGGGGGGAGGGGAAGATAGGGTGATAAAGCTACCATAAATAAAGTTAATTTTTATTCATAATTTTGAATAAAAATGTGTTTGTGCAAAACAAAAGTCACTTAAACGTATGACAGTGACAGATAAGGACGTTGTTCATGTGACAAGCTCGACACTGAGTGCGGGGCGGGGCCGCTCACTCCCCAGGGCTTTGCTCTCTCGTCACCGCGGCCGTCAACAATTGCGCCCTTGAACTTGCTGGTGACTGGATTGGGGGCAATACTGGGGGAGCCTAAGGCCTCAGTGTCGCTCAGCTCCCCGGTGTAATCAGGGCCCCGGTGGGCCCCGCCCTGGCAGTGGAGGCAGAGGGGTGAGACGGCGGAGCAGAAGCCTTGGCCTGCAGGTGGAGGCAGCGTGGCCGTGCGCTGCGAGCAAGCGTGGCGGCCTCCCAGCTGCGGCTGAGAAGTGGAGAGAGGCGCCCCAGCCTCCCGAGTGGGCGAGGGGGCGGGGGAGGACAGAGGAGGGCCTTCGGACCCCGAGAGAAGGGTGTGGGAGGAAGCGAGCAGGCCGGCGGCCCAGTCCACAGTCCTGAAGCCGGGTCCAGTCTCAGAAGAGCTGACACCACCAAGGCCTGGGGGGCCCCCGGGCCCAGGAAGCAGGCCTCCTGATGAATAGCACCCATAGGAACAGAAAACGAGACACGGTTTAAGGCATTGTTTGTTTACAGTAAAAGAATGCAAGGGACCCTTAACACGGGAGGGGTCTGGGCTCTCACTCCGACCTTTCTCGCTGGACGAGGCTGTCACTGAAGGTTAAAGCGGGGCCTCCAGGCCCATGCATGAGCGACGTCACGAGTCTTGTGCCAAAATGCATGTTTCTCGAAGAGTTCACACTCGCTCGCACACACACGTATATGGCACGCACACGCAGAGGGCGCTTCTGGGTCGTACAAAATCCGAGGGGCCCCGTGGGCGAGCGACCCCGTGCACCTGGGGTGTGAAGAGCCGGTCCCACGGCCTGTCCCTGCTCTCCGGCCCCTCGTGCAGGCGACACTGTCCGCTCTCTGGAGCAGGAGAAGGCCCCGGGGACCCAACAGGGGCCGAGGGCTCTCTAGTCGCAGCAGCAGCAGCAGCAGCAGTGGCAGCAGCTGGTGGACGACGGGGCCCAGAGAGGGGTTGCGGGGGTAGCTGCTGAGTAGGTGCCGTGACGGTCGCTGGGGAGTGGCGGCAGCTCCTGCACCGGCGGGGCCCTCTGGACCGCGAGGCCACAGGCCACGGGCCCTGGAGTCCGGCCGTCAGTCTCCCAGCACCCTGGCCGACGGCCCGTGCCCAGGACTCGTGCGCGCCACCAGTCCCAGGCGGGGCTCCCAGGAGCCTCTGAAGTCACGTCGAGTTCTGCAGAGACTTATTCGAACGACATAAGGTTTGCAGGTACCTGGAAGAGAAAGCTCAGCCTTTTGTCGACGTTCCGACCTTTCGGATGGGGATGGGGACGGGGACGGGGACGGGGATGGGGTGGGGGGGCCCCGAAGGACGGGCTGGGCCTCGCTCAGTTAGTCTGTGAACGAGCAGGTCGGGGCACGGGGTGCAGCAGTGATGGCCACCACCGCAGCCGTCAGGGGACGGCTGCGGGCCAGGCACCGCTCGGAAGACTTCACCCGCATCACGTCCTCGAGTCCTCACGGCAGCCCCGTGAGGCAGGACCGGAGGGTCCCTGTGACAGAGCCGGGAGCCGAGGCTCAGAGAGGTGAGTGCACGGCCAGCGTGGGGCAGGGCTGGGACGCCCGCCACTGCTGTCCCTGGGTCCGAAAGGGACCGAGAGGACACAGATCCCTCAGGAACAGGGCACAGGGGCTGCAAGACGGGAGAGGGGGTGGGATCCAGAGCCCAGGGCCTTCCCATAGTCACGTCCCGGGCCAGGGTCCCAGCTCCCTGCACTGGGGGACCACCAGGCCCAAGGTCAGGGTGTTGCCCGCTCCCCTCAAAGCTGCTGACATGCCCCCAGCCCCAGGACTCCGCCCACCCCCGGGCACTGCCGGCGGGCGGGGTCGGGGAGGCTTCCGGGGGAGCTGATGAGAAGCAATTTCATCAGAAACAAATGCATCCCGGTGCCAGTGTGGCCAGAGCAACGAACTGGGAACAGCGCGGCTCCTCGCACCCGGACAGAGTGACGAGACCGGGACGGGCGCTGCCTGAAACAGCGAAAGGCAGGAGGTGCTTTGGGGCTCGCCGAGAACTGATTCAAAAAACTCAGAGCGAGTCAATGAGCGAAAGCTGCACAGGTGGACACAGGGAATCTCGGGAACCCGCGCAGGAGGAGAGCAAGTCGCAGGAGGAGAGGGACAGTTACGGCTCCGTTGACAAGGACGCTAGAAAACACGGGCCGCAGGCAACAGAGCGAGGAGCGCACGCGTGTGCTGACACCGCACAGACACGGGAAACCGGCAAAGCAGGGGTACGGGGCTGTGAGATCTCAAGGTCACTACAAACAGCTGTAAGAAGTTTAATCCCCCCTGCCGAAGGAAAGCGACCTCAGGCACTGGGACTCCCCAGGAGCAGTGCATTCTGGGGCCCGTCCCCGCGCCCTGCTCGCGTGCCGCCACTCGGAAGACCGCAGCTCCCTGTAATCGCGGGGGTCAGCTCCTCTGCTGTGGGCTGTCCAGTTGCTGCCAGCGATTTACTGCTATAATACATGCAGCCCACCGTGGAAATGCTTGGTGGGAAGTAAATTAGAAATAAAAAGGGAAGAGAGTAGAAAAATAACAGCTCCTCTTCCCCAAAGTCTGAAAATTGGACCCACACACGAAGAGCAGCAAGGCCTTGCCGTGGCCGCACAGGAAACTCAGCCCACCGGTCCTTCTGGCTGCGCGCCTGCTCTGCCGCGTGGGTTTGACCCAGTTCCCGGCTGCCCGCTGCGACCCTGCTGCCGCGCCTGGCTGCCCTCCCAGAGAGGGGCCACGGGCTTCCACTCAGAGCCCCCGCCTGTCAGTGTCCCTGGCTGGGCCCTGCTCCCTCCCCTTCCCCCCGCTCTGCTGGTGGCCCCCTCGGGCGCCAGTCCCCGTCAGGCCTGAGTCAGCCCGGCCCCCTGCTCCCAGGCCCCTCAGCACTAATGGGGGGACCCCGACACACACGGCGTGACTGGTGCAGCGGGGACGGGATGCTCTTCCTCTCCTCCTGTGACCTGAGGTGGCACCAGCCTCATCCAAGCGCCAATGCCTCGTTCGCTTGGCATCGCCGGAGGGGACGGGCCGCCAAGCCCTGAAACCCCGGCGCTGCACCGTGCAGGCGGGCGGCCGGCCGCACGTCTTTGACGTGAACGGTGCCTGCAGACACTTTAGGAACCAGAGCCATGGCTTCTCGGACACCGTTTAAAACTGCACATGTGCAAACATGCCGATAATACGTATGCACGTGTATCTTCACACAAACGAGGTCGCCCTCACGTGCGTTTGACCCTCTGCTTTCTCGCTCTCGTCCTGGCGCCTGCGGGAGGTCACACGCAGACCCGCCTCCGCCTTCCTCGCCGCTCAGGTGGTGCCGCAGCTCAGCTGATGCCCCCCGGGGACTGACCGAGCCTCGCCGGGGCGCCCAGGGCCCTTTTCTACCAAGGACGACGAGCAGTGTGCGTAGCTAGCCACGTGCTTTGTACGCACGTGAGCACACGCCTCGGACAAACTCCTGGCGGGTGGGTAGGTTCGTCAGGGGCTGGAGTGCAGGTCACTCTGAGCTTCCTGGTGGCACCGCAAGTTTAGTCGTGCATGGGTCTCGCCCACTTGTCACAGACTTTCTGCTAATTCTGCTTTCTAGCTTCTTATCACCTACAATTCGATCAGCTCATCACGTGTCCCCATCCATGTCACAAAAGAAAATCTGGAACAGGACCACACTGAGCGCAGAGTGAGGGGACTCATCACTACGGACCTTCCCGCTGCTTATGAGAGCAGCTCTGAGGGCCAGGAAGTGGTGACCGTGGGGTGACCGGCACAGCTGAGGGCCCTCCCCTCCGGACCCACGTGCCTGGGGCTGCTGTGAACTCGCCTTGGCTGAGGTCCACCAGCCCGGGGCTGCCGCCTCCCAGCTGCTCCCACCTCCTCCGGACAGCTGCCACACTCTACTATGAGCCCAGGTGCGCTTCCCCGTGGAGCGGAGCCCAGCTCCCCAGCTCCCTCTTCTGGTGGATCCTGGGGAACTCAGGGGCAGCCTGGTGCCGCCTGCCCACAGACTCCCAGGGTCAGCAGGCTCTGGCCTGCCCTTGTGTGGTGCTAAGGGTGGGCGGCCATGCCTCTCACTGGCCAGAGGCCCCTGGGGGGTGCGGGGTGGGAGAGCTCAGGGGCGGCAGGTGCAGACTCTGCTGCGGGGCAGACCTGGGTAGGTCCCCCAGTTAGTGCTGCCACCTCCTGAGCCCCAGGGTCCTCGGGGTAAAATGGAGACTGTGAGAGGACCTGCCTCAGGGGGATGTCAGGGGGGACTGGGTCGACCCCTGCCTGGGAGCCTTCCGAGCAGTGCCTGGTGCTGGGGTGGGGGGTGGGGCCCGGCCACAGGCCAGGCCCAGGGGCCCACAGCCCCCTTCAGCAGCAGCCGCAGTGGGCTCTCTGTGCTGATACTGTTACTGTTGCCGTTCCTGAGGAGTGCAGGGGCCAGAGGCTGGCTAGTCTGTCGGCAGCATTCCCACGAACCACCTTTTGGGGGATGATCTCAACTGATGCTGTGGCCTGAACCCTGGGGCGATGCAGCACCCGCCGCCTCGCTGGCCCTGACGGACACTCCTGTGCATTTCCCTTAGTGCGCAGAGCACGGGGGCTAGACTCAGCGCTCTGGTCTGAAGCCGGGCTCTGCGGCGAGCTGAGCGGGGGCGGGGGTGCCGGCCTCGTGGGAGTGTGCCCGAGAGCCCGGCTGACAGGCACCCGGGGAGGGAGGGAGCCCTCGTGTCCGGCTGGGACCCAGTCCCGAGGGTGGGAGGGGTGTTGCGGGTGACAGGCAGGGTCCCGGTGACCTCACCTGAGGCCTGTTGCTTTTACACGCGTCGTCCAAGTGCTTGTGCCACAGGATCGCGTGGAACCGGGAGCCGGCCTGGAACTTGTAAACGTTGCCTGGCGGGCAGAGAAGCGCGGGTTAGGGAGGCGAGGGTCACACAAGGAGGGTCTGCCCGCAACTGTGACGTGAAGACGAGTGTGGACGAGGGGAACTAAGCTAAGAAAGGTCAGGAACAGCCCGAGGCAGGGCTGGGGCTTGCTGGGGAGGAGCCCCCCATCCCTGACCCCCCCGCCCCGCTTCTGGCTGTCCCTTTGGACCAGGGCTCGCAACCCATGGTGCCTCTGGCTCTGGTGCAGCCTGTGGACCCTTCTCGGGAGAATGGTTTCAAATGCGTAACACGAAATGCGAGGGAAATCAACGCTGAGATACAGGGATCAGACTACTAAGCCACAGATGAGTGGCGCAGTTCTATGTGCGCTTCCTCTCATCAGTGCGTGAATACGAGCCCCAGGGGCGGGTCCGAGGGGACCCGCAGCCTCACAGAGACGGGCGGAAACGGCGTCCTGAGATGTTGCAACAGTATGTGACACGGAAACACCTGCAGCTTCTCGGGGAGATGAAACCACGGGTGTTGCAATTATTCCGGCTGTTTAGGATCCACGGCCTGGGCATGTGGGGTTTGTCACGCGACACCGGCGACCAAGGAGACTAGTGTGACCTTTTCTGAGTGACAATGCGGACAAGGCTCCCGGACAAGACGGTGTCCAGAACCGTGCCTTCCCCTCAGCACGGTCGGGGTAAGGACAGAACCAAGAGGCACAGGGAGGCAGCTGGCGAGCTCACGCTGGAGCTCTGGTGGTAAAAGGGCTCTTTTCAGGTTTGGCCCTGGTCGGGACACGGCACGGGTCATGTCCGGGGTGTCCCCGAAATCTCCTGAGACCCACCGGCCACACGGTTGCCGCCTCATCCAGCATCGTATTATTTATTCCAGGAGCCCGAGGCCACAGCTCCAGGGGTCTCGGGCCCCAGTGGCCACAGAAAGGTTCCCGGAGCCACATGCTGTGGGCACTGACCACGGTCTAAACAGCTTTGAGGACTAGGGAGGGGACCCTGCGAACATCAGAACCTAAAGCAAAGGAAAAGCAGCAACCTCAAAAGTTCCCGCTGTTTCCAACGCACGTTTAGCAGAAGAGGAGACGGGGGAGAGGCGCCGCCGGCACCCAGCTCTGGCACCCAGCTCCGGGCCCGCCGCCCACCTTTGTCGGGGTTGTTCAGCTGGAAGATGTCCGGGTGCTCGGGGTCGTCGGGTAGCTGCACCATCCAGCCCACGACGGAGACCTTTTTGCCAGGCGTGGATTTGTACTGCAGAGGAAGACCAGCTCAGCGGAGCCTCACATCCCCCCTCCCCCAAGGAGGGCCGCCCTCCCACCCCGCCGCCTGCCCCGGCCCCACCGCTCCCTGTAGTTCAGCGCGTGGAGAGTCCTTCCACGGGACTCACGTGCTTTCTGTCCGTGCCCCGCAAGGACTTGGCTCCGTAGTACAGGAGGGTGGATCCTGAGAGCGTGACCCAGTACCTGGTCCACGAGGACAGCTGCACGGGAAGGGGAAGGGGAGGCGGGGTGACAACACTGCAGGTGGTGGGGGCGGGCCCGGCCCCTCCCTCCACGCCACCGCCACCCAACACCTGGAGGAGCGCACTGTCCTCTTCCCTGCCTCTGAGCGCATCAGCCCACAGCCTCCCGTCCCCTCACTCAGAGAGCCCTTCCTCTTTCGCCCTGTCTAGGGTGGCGACAAGGCACCGTTTCTAAGTGGTCAGGCGACCTGGGCCCAAGGGCCGGGGCTGGCCCTTCAGGAGCTCCGCTCTCTGGTTCAGGGAAGACTGCTTCGGCAGGCCTTCTGGCTCTGCAGAGGCGAAGGCAGTGTCCCCCCTCGGAAGAGGAGGGCTGAGCAGAGGGGCCCATCACAGCCCACAGGCCCCTCCCCACGCCGGGCGGCGCTGGGTTGCCACAAAAGTGAGAGCAGCGGCTTCCAGGCCTTCGTGAGAACGCCCACAGGTGTACAGGCACACGGGTGTGTGCGTGTCACACTGAAGCAGCTTCGTGAGACAACACTCAGCTTCGCTCAGTGTAAGGACTCCATCACGTTTCTATTCTACCCGAGAAAACGGGCTGTGACCCCTGGACTGGTGTCACCCCCCTGCCGGGCGGCCCAGCACCGGGGAAAACACAGCTTCCAGGGCGCTGCCTTGCTCTGGCCTCAGGGTGGTTGAGGCCTGGACTCCAGGAACAGGAGAGAGGCAGGCAGTCGCTGTAATGGCCTGGGTGTAGGGCCCCACGTCACAGGACACTTTGGGATGCTCTGGGTCCAAGGACAGAGTGTGGCCCAGGGCTGGGGTGAAGATTCCTCCTCACGCAGGAACCGTCTGGCACCAGCAGACGGGAAGGCATGGAGGCGGCAGCTGGGCTAGGGCCCTGGCACCTTCATGGGTGTTGGCAGGAGGGGGCATCTCCCCGGGGCTCCATGGGCAGTGGACAGCGTCTGGCGACGCAGCTCACAGGGGGTGTGCAGGCCGCTTGCCGTGGGTGGAAAAAACAGAGAGGCCTTTGCAAGGGACTAAGGCCCTGCCATGAGTGGGGGCCGTGGGCCAGTGACAGCTGGGTCCAGCGTGGGCGGCCTGGGGGCCAGTGGTGGAACCTGCAAGGCCTCCTGATTCCTCGTCCCCATGTGTCTCGGGACTTGCTTTGTGCGGCTGCTGGAGGGAGAGAGGACTGGGTCTGGGACCCTCCGGGTGCGCTGCCCTTCTCGGGCGCAGCGTGCCCCCACCCCCAGGTCTCCAGGCCTCCGCTTGTCCCCGAGACAGTCGCCGAGCCCTGTCCACGGCGTGCTCAGTGCGTGCACCGTGGTGCACGTGACGCTCTCGCCGAGTCCTTTAGGACGGTGGCACTATTCCATCCCGATGTGCAGCTGTGGGAGCCGCGTTCCTCGCCCACTCAGTGGCACAGCCAGGGCTGGAGCCCGCGTGGTCAGTCTCCAGAGCCCAGGCCCTCGCTGAGGCCTGTGCCGCCTCCGGACCAAGGTGTGTCTGCACTCACCGCGGGCTTCCGACCCTCCTTGAGCAGCGTCTTTCTTCTCAAAGGCCCCTCCATGGTGGGCACTGCTGCCGAGCTCCCCAGCGTACAGATGCACGGGCCGGTGGGGCTGCGGGGAGACCACCGGTCAGACGCCGCCTGGAGGAGCTGGGGCCAGGCACCCGCTCACTCACTGGGGTCCACGATGCTGCCACAGACGGGAGGGCTCACAGTGCCGGGGCCAGGCTGGGATGGGAGGACCCCGAGGCCGCAGAGAGCGTGCAGGGCCGTGGCCCTGGGAACTCTCGCCTCCCTGACCTGTGTGGGCGCTGCAGAGCGCTGTGCTTGGTGGCCAAGCTCCCCGTAACCCAGGTGCCTCGCAGCACCCACACCTTATCCTGACCTCTGCGGCGGCTTCCTCTGCACTTGGGGACCTTGGGGACTATGCAGCCCCTCCTTTTTGTGTTGGCAGGAGCCTGGGAGGAGCGTCAAGGAGGTAGGGAGGTGCGGGTGAAGTGACAAAGGGGGCACAGGGGGCCACACACCGCCATGCCCAGCACCTCTTCCTCAGGGCTCCTTCTCTCACCCTCACCACAGGGCTTCAGGCGCCACCTACAGGTGAAGGCGTCCAAGTGCAGCACCAGCCCAGACCTCTGTCCTAAGCTCCATCTCAGCAAGCAGGAGCTCAGCTCCCTCCGCCCAGCGCGGTCCCCCAGGCTGCTCTTCCGCTGCACCCCAGTGACCAGCACTGCCGTCCACCTGGCTGCTTGAGCCAGGAACCTCGGGGTGTTCTCCTCTTACCCCGCCACCCCTGCAATGCCCGCCCGTCCTTCCATCTCAGCCATCCCACTTCCCCCAGCTTAGGGCAGAACTTGACCTTCCCTGGACCGACTGCCCATGCTCACCCCTGGCCTCACCGCATCCACTCCTGCCCTCCTCCCGTGTGCTCTCCACGGGGGGCCAGGGTGACCTAGGCACGCCACACCCCCCACCCTCCCTCCAACACCCAACACCTCCATTGCCTTTGAGACTACTGCCCTCACAGTCCCGCCCCCCCAATCCAAGACGAGGCTGTGCCCACCTTCCCAGCCTCATCTCCTCTCATCCTCACAACACCGACTCCCTTCATTCCCAGGCACCCTCCTCTTCCTGCCTCCAGGCCCCCTGGACCGTCCCTTGGCCTGGGGGCACTCTTATTTCCCCTCCGCCTCCCCTCCCTCCCTGTATTTAATCAGGGTAATTCCTATCACCCTTCCAGTCTTTTCCCCGCCAGAGCAGCCGCTGGCTCTGGGGCCACGGGCACCTGTGACTTTCTGTTGCATTTCAGTCTCCTCTCCAGCAGCAGCCCCGTGGACCGCGGCGGGGCCTCCAGCCCAGCGCCCGGCAGGCACCCAACAAGCACCCAACAAGCACCCTCTGGTTCCCTGCCGAGCAGACGAACCCTCGAATGAAGGAGTACCTGTAGACACAGCTCCGCGTTCTGGGAGAATTCCGAACGGGAACCCGCCAGTTGGGCCCCAGGGTGGCGTAGAGACGTCCCCTGCTTCAGAGGGAAAAAGCAGAGTTTTAGCGGCGGGCTGCGAAGACAGATACTCTGAAGGAGGCAAGAGCGTCTCAGACTGTGGCCATCAGCTCAGGGACCCCAGCCCCAACTCCGCCCCCGCCTCCTGGGTTGGGCTTTGGGCACATCTGAGCGGCCAGGCCCATGAACAGAGGGCCCCAGGGCTCCACCCGGGCAAGTCCCCAGCACCCCAGGTGACTATTTCCTCCAGCGGCCCACAGCACGGCAGTGAGGGGGAGGCTCCGCAGGAAACGGGGAACCAGCCCTGAGTTCTGAAAAGGCCCAGGGCTTCGACCGTGACCTGTAACACTGAGCACCTCACAGCCGGGTGGGACGCCACAACGCGCCACAGCCCCCCACCTCCAGGGCCGCTTTCCCCGCAGCCCCCCAGGGGTCTCTTCCGAATCGGGGCAGGGTCTGAGGGCCAGAGGTGCCCTGGCGATGCCCCTTGTGCGTAGCGGGAGCCTCCTCATTCGATCTGAATTCCTGCGGAGCCGGAGCCGCTGCTGGTGCGGCGCGTGAGGCGGACCCCCGCTCCCCGGAGCTGGGTCCTCGGGCCCCTCCTCTCCGCCTTCCTTCTCAGGAGGCTCCTTCCCCCGGGGCCCCAGGGAGGTGTGTGCCAACAGGGGGCTGTCCGCTACCACCAGCAGTTCCTCCACGGGGTGACAGGGTGGGTGCTGCCCCTTCTCTCCGTCACTCTGTCCCCTTTTTGAGACAGCCCGTGGCTGCATGCGCACAGAAGTCTGGCAGGGGTGACCTGCGTTGATGAAGAGCTTAGGTCGGCATCTTCCTCGTGTTCTCCCTGGGCTGGTGGGAGTGTTCAGGGACGCCAGGGCCACCGAGGAGGCTCCCGGGGGAGTCACCAGTTGGTGAGCGCCCCCATGCGCCAGGCCACACACTCTCCCCCACTGGAGTTCTCTTTGTTCAAGCGCCACCACCCGCCCCAGAACGGGGGAGCTGAGGCTCAGTGCCCGGAGGACGCGGGACAGAGGCGTGGGCCTAGGTAGGCGGGGTTTGAACCCGGGTCTGTCTGACTCACTCCACAGCCCAAGCTCCGCCCATGCATTTCAGGGTGGGGAGAGGCTAAGGTGGCCCGAGCGGTGGAATCTGCCACGGGCCTGGGCCCAGGTTCAAAGCCAGCTCTGAGGGGGCGGCTTCCTGGCATTCTTCTCCGGAGGCTCCACTTCGTGTAGGTGTCTGCTGCAGCTCACGCTGGGTGGACTCTGTCGGCGCCCGCGACACCGGAAGGCCACACAGTCTGTAGGCCCGGGCCCCTGGGCCCTGGGCTTCCCCCTCGGAGTGTTTTCCCGGTGGCTCTGGCTTCCGGGCACTGAAGAGCAGCTGCTGCTCGTCGACTGCTGACCACGAGACAAGTAAGGCCTTCCCCGCACGGTCCTCGGAGACGTGGGCTGGCAACCAGGAGAACAGCACCGCGGTCCCAGGGGGGTGAAGGTGGTGGCGGTGATGGCGGCGGCGGGACTGTGGGGAGACCGGACGGTGCGGATGACGGTGGGGGGGGTGGTGCGGAAGGGGAGGCAGGTGCCCGGCAACGTGCTGAGTGAGCAGCACCCGCTCACTGTCCTGTTGGCTCCGGCGGAGCGGGGGCAGGCACTGTTCTTATCCCCACCCCACAGAGTGGGGCTCTGAGGCTCGAGGGGTGGGTGACTTGCCCAAGGTCACAACACTAGGAACGGGAGGAGTGGGTGGCGCTGCTGAGGTGGGAGCAGCCAGGGCCCTGCTCGGGCCCACGGCACCGTGAGAACGCAGACTGGCCGGGGCGGGTCTGGGACACGTCTTCCCCTTGACAGGTTCCTGGGTGCGCGTCGGGTGGCAGCTACCTCGGGGACTGAGTTTCACAGTTTCACCCGGAGTCCCTGTTACTGGTCTAGGGGGCTGGGGTGCAGGGAGAAGTCTTGGATGACAATCTCACTGAGGCCTCAGTAATCTTGTCTTAGCAGAGCCGGGATCCCCCCATGCTTCTGCCCCCACCCTCCCTCCCCCCCGTGCACAGAGCCCCTGGCAGGAGTGGGCTGTGGAAGGGGCCGGGGCGCTGCTCATCAGCGGGGCCCACCTGCACCGGCAACTCCCCTGCATGGGCAGTGTCCCCATCGGCCAAGGCTCGACCCTGCCTGCTTCCTGGTGACTGGCCCTCACCTGCAGGCAGGAAGCTGCCACCCCAAGTTGTGCCGAGTCCCGGGAGGTCTCCCCAGCAGTGCTTGTTAAAGGGCTTTTACTGCCTGTGAGTCATGCATGCACTGTCCTCTGGGCAACGACCCCAACCCGCTGAGCGGGTCGCTAGGAGCCGCATTCGCACTGAAAGTTCCGCTGGGCGCACCCCAGCCAAGTCTACCAGGCTCCCTCTGCCGGCCATTAGGGGCCGAGTTTGAAAAACTGGAGTCAGGCTCCGTGGCTGGGCGAAGCCGTGACATGTAGCCTGGGGAGCTGGGAGGTGTCCACCTTCCCCTCTGGGAGCTGAGAAGTCTAGAGTAGGGGTCTGGTCTGCAGGGACAGAGGGGAGTGGAGCAGACAGGCATCGAGAAGGATTGACGTGAGACAGGTGGACAGCCTTGCCCGCTTCCCAGGACCTGACTCTGGGGCTGTTCTGTGGACCAAGGGGTTGTGGCAGACTCCTCGGCTACCTGTGAGGCCGCAGCAGCCTGGTAGGCTGCTTGGGCCCCAGCCCTTGTCGGCTGGGGCCCAAGGACAGGGTCAAGAGAAGGCCGGTACCGCCTGCTGCCCGCTGCTGTCTCTCAGAGGGGCCTGAGCCCCTGGGTCGAGCCTCAGGTGCCAGACCTCGGTGTCTGCTGCTGAGGGCGAGGCAGCACATGGCACCTCTGAGGGCAACCAGCATCAGCAGCTCGGCTCATCACCCAGCCGGGCCGCCTCCTGCGGCAGAGCGGCAGGATGGAGGACCAGGGCAGGGTGCAGCTGGAAAACCAGACTGCGGAGGGACAGATGACGGACGAGGGACACAAGCCTGGGGCACTCTGGGCCCCCAGCCTCGGGGCGCAGGGGTCTCACTCCCTGAACACAGCCGCTCCCGTGGGTGCACTTCCGTTGAAAGGGCCCCCTCACCTCCAGAGCCCCAGGGCTTCCCCTCCCTCTCCCAACTGCTGTGGGGTCTGGGGCTCGAGAGGCACCCCTGTTCCCGGGAAACCGGCATCTGCCTGAGTCTCCGATCTTCTCCAGGAAGGACAAGAGTGTCTTCAGAAACTCCGACTGGAGGTGTCAGGCTTGGGGCTCCACTGCCGCGACCCCGCCCCCCGGGTCTCCCGGAGGGTGTGGGAAGATTCCACCAGCTCAGAACAAGAAAGCCACACACAGGGCAGAAACTGCAACACCCAACCCCCTCAGCACCCAAGAGTATGTGTGCAGCCACCTGTAGGCAGCGCTCTCCTAAGGGGCCTTCCCACTGTCCAGTGGCCAGCTGGGGCTGGTGGACACCTGCCTTCATTACAGTCCATCCCTCCGAAATGACTGACCGCCATCTGGGGATGTTCCCTTCGCCCCGCCCAGCCCTAGGTTCCTGGAGCGCTTGCTGGCAAGAGATGCCCACTGAGTGGAATTCAGAGAAAGCCCAAAGCCACTTTCCCAAATGTAGCCATTCCACGCATGTGCTGCTTCCTGCGAGCACCCTCCCTGCAGAGTGGAGGGGCCTGAGGCTCAGAGAGGCTCAGAGGGGTCCAGAGACAAGCCCAAGGTCACGGAGACAGTGAGCAGCCGGGCTGCAGGCCCGTCCCAACACCGTGAGCCCATCCCAGTGCCGCAGGCAGCGTCCAGAAGCCAGACCGTCATCTTTCACTGCACGGTTCACCGGGAACTTCAGAGACCAGGGTGCACCCTGGAGCCCGCCTCTCCTGCAGCGACCCTCAGAGACATGAAGCATTCCTGGGCCACCTCTCCCGTCCTGGCACACGACTCGGGACTCATGGCCTCCTCAGGTCCTAGGACCCCCTCGAGGGTCCACTGTGGTCCCTCTTCACCACATGTCCTTGGACTGCTGCCAAAGCATCTCTGCAGGGGCCACCCCGGAACCTGCAGTCTGACTTGGTCCCGGCTGGACATTCCCGTGGCTGATCCCCTGGGAACCTGGCCTCCCTGGTCTCCGTCTCCCAGCTCAGCTGAGAGCCGTGACCGGGTCCTGCTCCGCCCTGGGAAGGAGCGAGAAGCAGCTGTGCGCCCGAGGGGCCGTCACACTCCCCTCTCCCTCTCCACCTCCCACCAGCGGGGCACTTCCTCCTCCAAGGGCCCCCCGACTCCTGGTCTCTCCGCCTCCCGCTCTCTCGCGCCCTCCCGCGCAGACAGGCCCCGGCAGGCTGGAGAGGGCGGGCGGCTGAGGGCTCGGTGACGAGCTGTGTGACGTGCCTCACACTTCACCTCTGAGAAACGGGTCAGTACACACTTCCGATGATATCATCTTTGAAAAAGTTAAATGTTAATTTTCTCTGGGTTTAAGAGGAACTTTTACCCATTATGGAAAATTTGGAGAATACGGGGGAAAAAAGTAAAGGAAAGAAACCAACTCAATAAACCTGCAACTCAGAGATGACCGAGATGGATGATGTCATGTTATTTTCATGCCTACACATGTGTTTGTCTCCAGCAGTTACTTTGTCCTTCATTTTAAAAACCTCATTTAAGGCTTCCGGTCAAGATGGCGGCATGGGCAGGCTTGGCTCACCTCTTCGCACAACCACATCAAAATTACAACTAAAATACAGAAAAACCATCACTCGGAACATCAGAAATCCAGTTGAATGGAAATCTGACAACTACGGAATTAAAGAAACCACATCCATCCAGACTGGCAGGAGGGGCACAGACACAGAATTGGCCGGTCCTTCACCCACATGTGGTGGATAAAAATTTGGGAGGGAGATACTGGGAGCAAAGAGTCCCAGCCCCACACCAGGCCCACCCCCGCCCAGGGTCCAGTGCCAGGAAGATAAGTCCCCACAACCTCTGGCTACAAAACCCATCAGGGATTGAGTCAGTGTAAGAAACTTCTGGAGCCCCAAGCAGTTCCTCTTAAAGAACCCACCCACGGACTCACCTACTCAGACTCACTCCCTCTGAGCTCCAGCACTGGGTAGCAGCTTGAAAGGCACCAGTGGTACACAGGCAGGAACTAAAGTGTCTGCCACCAAGGTAAGCAGAGGCCATTGTCCCTTTTCTAAACCCTCCCCCAACAGAGCTGGCAAGCTGGTTCCATATCTGAGATTCCATCAACCAGGCTAACACTGTTTGACCCGCCTTGGAGATCCCCAGAGACTCCACCGCACCCAATTTATGGGCCCACCCAAGCTGCTTTTCCAAAAGAACGGCTGGCCTGGCTCTTGCTTCACAACTTCCTAAATCCTCTCAAACAAGCAACAGCTGGCCTTGGTAAGCCCCAGGCCTGGCACTAGCAGCAGCAGCCTAGATTCACAGCTTGGCTTCACTTGGGAACTTCCAAGCCCAGCACAAGTAGCAGCCATCTCAGATTGCTTTATAGCTCAGGCTGAGTGGACCCGGGTAAAACACAGGTGGGGGCTGACCTTGGCCCCCACCACCCAGGAAACCCCAGGGCCAGAGCACACAGTGGACAGCTACAGACCACGTCAGAGCACCACCACCTGCCCCTGCACAGCTGATCCTCCACGGAGGGCGGAGACTGGTGGTCAGTGATCACAGCCAATCCTTGCAGCTGACTGTCCTGGGTAAATCCCTCCCATTGATCTGCCAACAGCAACCAAGTCTCAACTATAGGAGGAGGGTGTACTCAGCCCACACAAAGGGCACACCTTGAGTACCAGCTTGGATGATAGGGGAGGCTGTGCCACTGGACCCTACAGGACACCCACTCCATTAGGCCACACTACCAAGACACGGAGTCAAAGCAGCTCTACCTAATACATAGACACAAATACAGGGAGGCTGCCAAAACGAGGAGACAAAGAAACATGGCCCAAATGAAAGAACAGATCAAAATTCCAGAAAAAGAGCTAAACAAAATGGAGATAAGCAATCTATCAGATCCAGAGTTCAAAACACTGGTTATAAGATGCTCAAGGAAATTGGTGAAGACTTCAGCAGCATAAAAAAGATCTAGTCAGAAACGAAGGATACACTAATTGAAATAAAGAACAATTTACAGGGAAATAACAGCAAAGTGGATGAAGCTGAGTTTCAAATCAGCGATTTGGAACATAATGAAGCAAAAAACTACCACGCAAAACAAGAAGTAAAAAGAATCCAAGAAAATGAGAGTATAAACAGCCTCTGGGATAGCTTCAAGAGGTCCAACCTTCACATCACAGGGGTGCCAGAAGGAGAGGAGAAAGAGCGAGAAATTAGAGATCTATTTGAAAAAATAATGAAAGAAAACTTCTCTAATTTGGAAAAGTAAGTAGACATGCAAGTCCAGGAAGCACAGAGAATCCCCAAACAAGACGGATGCAAAGAGGCCCACTCCAAGACACATCACAATTAAAATGCCAAAGGTTAAAAATAAAGAGAGAATCTTAAAAGCAGCAAGAGAAAAAAAATGCTAGTTACCTACAGGGGAGTTCCCATAAAACTGTCAGCTGATTTCTCAAAAGAAACTTTGCAGGCTAGAAGGGACTGGCAACAAACATTCAAAGTCATGAAAAGCAGGGACCTACAGCCAAGACTGCTCTCTGCAGCAAAGACGTCACTTAGAATCGAAGGGCAGATGAAGAGCTTCCCAAACAAGAAAAAACTAAAGGGGTTCATTATCACCAAACCACTATTATATGAAATGTTAAAGAGAGTTATTTTAGAAAAAGATCAAAACTAGGAACAATAAAATGGCAAAAAATACATATCTATCCACAACTGAATCTAAAAAAACAAAGTAAGCAAACAAGAAGAACAGAGACAGAATCATGGATACAGACAGCGTTTTGATGGGTGCCTGATGGGAGGGGGTGCGGGGGATGCGTGAGGAGGTGAGGGGATCGGGGAGTACAGACAGGTACAGAACAGCCGGGGGGAGGTAAAGTACTGCACAGGAAGTGGAGCAGCCAAAGAACTTATACCATGACCCATGGACATGAACAATGGTGGGGGGACTGCCTGAGGGAGTTGGGGGTGCTCGGTGGAGGGGGGACAAAGGGGGGAAAATCAGGACAACTGTAACAGCATAATCAATAAAATATAGTTTTTTAAAAACCTTCTTTAAAATGTTTAACTTTCAGACTGATATTCTTGTTCTCACTACGAGTGGCAAATCAGGCACAAAGGAGCACCTGTTCGCTTTCACGGACTGTCCCGAAGGCCGCGGGGCACCTGCACAGGTGAGCTCGCTGCGCGATCAGTGCTCGCAGGAGATCCTGCCTCAAAACACCTGCTGCAGGCGTCCGGACGGAGGGCGAACCTAATGCTCCTTTCTGAGCGAAGGAGAGGAAAGAGACATGCTACTCCGCAGCGCCCCCACCGAACTGGGTGCAGCGGTGTCTCTCTGGGTCAGAAGGGCCCTCCCCGTCCTCCTCCCCGCCAGCTCTCGTCTCAGCCATGGGTGCTCGGCAGGAGCTGCTTCTGCCGCCTCGGGCTGGTGTCTGACAGGGAGCAGCTGCTTAATGCATGTGAAGGGAATAAATGAACGAGTGAGGGAATGAGGGGAGGAAGGAAGGGAGGATGGAATGGGGGGAAGGGGGAAGGGAGGGACGAAGGGATGGAGGAAGGGAGGGGAAGAAGGAAGGAAGGAAGGAAGGGAGGGAGGAAGGGAGGGAGGGAGGGAGGGAGGGAGGAGGGAGGGTGGGAGGAAGGGTGGGTGGGAGGGAGGGAGGGAGGGAGGGGCGAATGAATGAATAGGTCCAGGCCCGACGGTGCTCAGGACCTTGGCGCGGTGCCTGCGCTCCCCACTCGCTGCCCCCTCACTGGCCTGTGGCCAGGAAAGACGCTGGCCGGCCTGCGAGCCTCTCCCGCAGGCTCTCCCGGAGCCCTCTGACCGGTGCTGAGAGACGTCAAACTCTTGCTCAGCAGACCCGGAGTGCGCCCCCGGTGCCTGCCGCTTCTCCCGCCCCGCTGGTGGGGTGGCCCTGAGCGAGGGCAGCGGGGCCACCCGCCCGAGAGCAGGAGAGCAAATGTCCCTCTCCGAGTCCTAGAGCTGGGACAGAGGCCATGGGCCATGCACCGTTGCTCCCCACTTCCTGTCCTCCCTCTGGGCATTCACAGGACAGACGGACCGACCGGCCAACCTGGGGCCAGCGCCTGTGGCTGTCGCAGCAGCGCGCTGGGCGAGGCCGGGACCGGCGGCAAAGCGGTGGGCTCAGTGGCTGGGAAGACACGGACTGGGGGCGGCGCGGCCCCACAGAGGACGTGAAGCAAGGTGGGGCGCTCCGCCTGCCGGAGCCTCGCCATCCACGTGCGCACACGGGGAGCCCCTGAGGAACGGCTGAGCAGAAGTGCTTGAGGCCAAGACAGCGCCGGCACGCAGGGGACCCACAACAGGAGCCGCTCACCACCACGCGCACCCTCCTGCCCTGCGAGGACGCGCCGGGGGGAGCCCCCTCCTCCCTGGCCGTTTTACAAATGTGGGGGCTGAGGCGACAGGAGGGTCCGGCACCAGGGGACATGTGTGTGTGATGTGTGGACCTGTGTGAGGAACACATGTGCAATCGTGTGAATGCGTGAGAGAACGTGTGTCCAGTGTGTGTAGTGGTGTGAGAGTGTGTGACTGCGTGTGCCTGCCTGTGCACACAGGTCCCCACGGGGGACAGGCCACTTGGAAGGATAGTGCAGACCTGCCTCTCATGACGTTCCGTGTCAGTGGATTTCTGCCCGCTTCCCCCCAAGGTCGCCGCAATGACCTTCGCCTTGGGTGGCGCTGTGGCTCTGGGAGCTCCCCAGTCACAGCGCTCGTGTCTCCCCAGAGCCCATGTGGTGGCTTGTGCGGAGAAAGCACCCGCGTGCAGAGCAGGTGCTGAGGGCGAATCCTGAGTGGGGGCCCGACCCCCTGGGCGCCCGGCCGTCCGCAGGCAGCCAAACCCACGGAGGGGCCCCTGTGCTGTCACCAGTGCCCAGCACGCCGGGTGTCGGCCCGAGGCCACATGGGCAGGCACACTGGGTCCCCGCAGGCGGAGCCACGTCCGCAGCCCAGGCCCAGGCCCAGGCCTCCAGTTTCAGGAGCACATGTTTCAGACTAAGTCTGCTCCCCGGCCTCCCCAGCAGCCCGGCCTGAGGAAGAGGCGTGGACTCAGGCTCCCAGCTCGCTCTGGGCCAGACGACGAGGAGGCTGCTCAGAACACGGGCCGGGGGCCCAGCCCCCCACCCCACCCCACCTCACCCCCGCCCGTGCCTCAGGTGGCCCTGCCCTGGGCCGAGCGGGCCTGAGGAGCTTCCGAGCAGCCTCACCAGCTGGGCCGGCGGTGAGGCCACACTCACCTTTCCAGCCCTGACGACATCTCTTCACTAAGCTCTGAGCTCTCACTACTGCCTGGAAAAGGAACACAGAGGGTGAGCAGGGCAGCCGCGCCCCGGGGCCAGCCCCTGAGGGGCCTCTCCTGGCTCCCTGGGCCCAGGCCCTGGGGCTCCAGGACGTGCTGGAGCAGCAACTTCCTGACCCTGCGGGTGTCACTGTGGCTGGCGGTCTGCTGCTCCTATGTCTGCCTCTCTGTCCCGAGAGGGTCCCACTATTCCCAGGTGGGCCCCCCACTTCCTTCCCACTGCCCCCCGGGGGGCACTGCAGCAGCCTGTCCCGGGACCACTGGGGTCCTTAGGCCTCCGTGTGGGCCTGGCCCGGCTCCCCACTGTCTCCCTTCTGGCCAGGGAACACCGGTGCCAGCACAGCCCTCACCTGGTGAGGACAGAGGCCACACAAGCACTTCTTCCCCCCAGGGTCAGGCCCTAACTAGACACTGGTCACCGGGCAGCTGCCGGGACTAGACAGGAGCCTCAAGGGAGGGCCCCCTCAGACAACCGGCTGGTTTCCAAGCAGACAGGAGCTCGACCTCCCCCCAGGCCTGCTCTTGTGGGGCTGACTCAGACACCCCGTCTCTCGGGCCCCGGGGGCCTGCCCCCAGCCGCAAGGACAGCAGGGAGACAGATCTTCTTCGGTCCCTTCACCGGTGCCACAGGCCTCGGTGCTGCCCCTCGGGCCTCGAGGCGCCTGGGCTCCACTCGCTCTGCCTGGGCTGCCTGCTGGCACCACGGCCGGGCAGTGGGAAAGGGGAGGCAGGGGTCTCCGGCCCGATGGAAGCGACAGGATGGAGAGGACCAGCGCGGCTCCACACGGGGCACCTGCAGGCGGCAACCTGCTCCTGGGCTCTCAGGGGACTCCGGCTGCAGACACACACGAGCTCCTCGAATGCGGGAGCTGGGGACTGGGGTGCCCGAGGGCCTCCCGCCTGGGCACCGGGCGGCACTGCGTCCACTCGGTGTCCTGTCCGGGGAGAGCGGGGCCTGGGCTGCTCCGGCACACACGGCTCAGGGAGTTCCCGGATGTCAACGGCTGGAGGCTCTCGGGCTGGCATTTCCCAGCCCGGTTCAGGCCACATCCCGCCGCGTGCCCCGAGGAGAGAGTTCCAGGGGAGCCCTCGGATACCGGGGAGCCTGCAGACTCTGCTGCCTCCTGGGCACCCACGATGCCCTCAGCATTTTAGGGTCTCCGAGAAGAGGGCCGCTCACCTGGCCTAACCAGCCTTCTCCCGACATAACGCCCCCCAGGATGGCCCCGTCCCAAGACAGAAGGCTGACAGGACCCTGCTTCGCACTTTCTGGTGGTGGGAGACGGTCGTCCCTGCAGTGACACTGCCTCAGACACTGGCCGCAGGTCACAGGCACGTAGGACATGGGATTCCCGCCCACTTTTCCTGCCCCCACACCCCCCTCCTCCTCACGCACATGGGCCCTTCTCCCTGCAGGCCTCACCAGATCAAACCCAGGCTGGCAGCTGTCTAAACCACCCCTGGCCCCGGGAGGGCCCCTCACTAAGGACAGCAGACAGACACGCAGACACAAGGACTCCAGAAGCACAGGCACACTGAAAGGGCACGGCCAGCAGAGAGCGCTCTTGTCTGATGGCGGTCGTGACAGGTGGCCTGGGCACGGCAGGAGGTGGACCCCAGACCAGAGCGCCACGCCATCCTCTGCTCTGACCTCGACCGCCTCCCAGCTGGCCTGAGCAGCCCAGTCCCCTCTGCGGACGCGAGCGCCGTTTCTGGCGGAAGCTCAGGCATGCCGTCCCACCCCTGGAGGTCGCTTCCTCACCCCCGCAGCAGCCCTGACTTTCCGGCGGGAGGACAAGGACACACATGAGCGCCCGGCGGCCCGTCAGCGGCCGTCCTCAGGCAGCGCCCCCAGCTCTGCCCTGCTGGCTGGCCGGGGCCTGGGGCTCCCCCCGGGGCGGCCGCCCAAATGAGGCCTCGGCCCAGCTTTGACGGCGGGTCTCCGGAGTGTGTCTGGCCACCCCTTCCACCCGCTTGCCATGCTCAGGGCCACCAGCAGGGTGAGGACAAGCCCAGGGCACTTGGTGACACCCCCTGGCTCTGGGGACTCCTGCGGGGAGCCCTGTCTGCGGGGCTGCGGGGCCACTGGGCGCGGCACGGCGACAGACAGACACGAGCACGCCCGGGCCACGGCCCCTGTGGGCCCGTGCGGGCCGGAGACGCTTACCTAGGGAGAGTCCATTGGTGACGGCGGAGGAGGAGGCGAGGGCGAGGCCCCTGCGGGGGCTGCGGGACTCTAGGACGCTGTCGTCCAGCAGGTGCCTCGCTTTCTCCGACGGGAAAGTTGCACTCTTACTCTCAACTACACTCAACTGACACATCATACTGGAAAACGGAAAGGAAGAGAGAAGGCAAAGCTCCTTATCTGTGGAGTCACGGTGGCGCACCTGCCCTGGGCTCCTGCACAGACGGCGCACCTGCAGGACCAGGGGCTCCGCCCAGAACTGGGTGTGAGTCCGGGCTCTGTCCCATCTCTCGGCGTGACCTTGGGCAAGTCACGTGTCCCCTCTGTCAGGTGGGCACTAACAGTCCTTGCCCTGCCTGTGTCCCCAGATGGTTAGGAGGCTCAGGTGAGTGGGTGGCGCTTGCGAGGGACGGGGCACAGAGTGGTGGGGGAGCGTGCCCCTGCAGTCATCACGTCTGGTTCTGGAGTCGCACACACGTGGGCCAGAGCCTCGCTCCAACCTGATGCACCACTGCTCCGCGCTTCACCGCCCCCGCCGCCCCGAGCCTCGCCGGACTCACTCTGGCGGCGCCCACTGCACGGTGCCGACCCGGAGGCCCACGGGGGCTTGGTGAGGTCATGCCGACAGGCACGGAGCAGGGTGCCTGGCACAGAGCAGGCCCAGAACACTGAGAGCAACCACTCTCTCCTCCAGCCCAAGGGGCTCCAGCACCAGCCTGGGCCGGCTGCGGCTTGCGTCTTAGTGGCGAAAGGCAGGCAGGCAGGAAGGAAAAGGGAAGATGGGAAGGAGGGAGGAAGGCAGGAAGGAACAGAGGGCGGGAGGGAGGGGTGGACCCAGCTGTGCAGGAGGCTGTGCCCGACACCCCGGGGACACGGGCGTGGCTGTCCCTGGCCATGCCGAGGACCGCAGGTGTCCCCTAGCTGTCAGCCCCACAGGGTCAGTGTCCTGCGGGCCCCCTCCAGCACGTAGCAAGCAGAGCCACGGAGCCCTGAGACCGGCAGGCACCGTGAGACACCTGGCGCTGCCTGCACGGCAGTCACAGAGGCCCCTGCACTCGGGGCTCGCACGAGGGCGGCGCTAAGGGAGCTGGGCGAGCTCAGGGAGGAGTCCCTGCATGCGTCCTCCATCGGCTGCTGAGCCGGTGACAGCGGTGACAGCTGTCACCGGCACCGGCCCGGCTCCTCCTCGCCAGTGTGGGGGAGGGCACCAGCCGGGGATACCAAGAGCACTGGTCAGCACCTCCCAGATGGGTGCGGGGGACTCTGGTGGGCCAGCACTCCCAGCAGCCCTTCAGCCCACAGCCCACGCCCGGCCCGTCTCTGGTCTGAGCGGGGCTCGCTCGGGTACCCACTTGTTGCCCAGGCTGTGGCTCTTCCTGTGCCTCGGGACCGGGGGTGTGGGGAGGCTGCCGGCAACAGAGGCGTCCGGGCAGGTGGGCCGCCGGCTGAACCTCGCAGAGCTGGAGCCGGAGGAGGGGCCTGTGAACAAACAGAGCAGAGAGCGCGGTGATGGGGGCCGCGCGGCACAGGGGCCGGGGCCGGCTCCGGGGCGAGGCGCCCGGCCCAGCTGTCACAGACAGACGGACGAGGGTCATCAAGCCCCATGGCTTTCTGCCCTCGAGACTCTGCCCCCTCCGCCCCAGTAGAGCTGATGCCCGGGGCAGTCAGGATGGCCAGTGTCCTGCTGTGCGCGGTGCCCCTGACGGCACAGCTTATGCAAGGCCGCCCAGCCGGGTAGCAGAGCGGGGACTTGGCAGTATGTCTTCTGACTCTGAGGCTGGTGCCCTCACCCCGAGCCCCTCCACGGCCGCTTTCTCTACCCGCCTGTGCGACAAAAGGGACAGAGAGCTTAGGAGGGGAGGCCGAGGATTTCCCGAGTAAGGGCACAGCTGGGCAGGCAGGGGCTCGGGCCCTGGGCCCGTCAGTTACGGCCTGGGTGACCTTGGACAGGTCACTTAACTCCTTCCCTTGAGACTCAGTCTCCTCATCTGAAAAGTGGAAATAATTCAACTCACCTTGCAGGGGGCTGGGAGGAACCATGAGGTAACATGTGCGAAGTTTCACAGTCAGCACTCATACTTGTTTTGTTACAATTACTAGCATGTTCTCCCGCCCCAGTACGGGGACCACTGGGGGTCACCAGAGTCAGGAGGTTGGGGCCACAAACCCCACAGAGCACCACGGAGCCTTCCTGCTGGCCACACCCACAGCCACGTTTGAGGGGCACGGTCCTGCCCACTGCTGTACTCTTTAGTACTGACTGCGCCCTGTGGCTCAGGAAGGGAGGGGACCTGGGACAGACACTGGAGGTGGGGCCAGGGCACTGCACTTCCTATAGAGCACAGCGCACCCAGCCAATCGGGGGCTGCTGCCTGGCCGTGCTGGGGAGCGTTCCGGGGGCCCTGCGAGGCCTGCACTGCACCCAGGGCTCCAGGTCCCCCACCACAAGCGGCTGCAGATCCACCAGCAACCGAAGGTTCCTCCCGCACGCTTGGCCCTTTATGTCTTTAGTGCCACAGCCCGTCCACTGCGCACGGTCTGGCTCGCTTCTGGCCCTTGGGAAGGTGCCCGAGGCAGGGCGACTCGCGTCTCCTCGGGCTCTGAGTCCCTGCTCCCCTCCCACCGCGCTCTGCAGGCACTCCTTCCCCTTCACTCCCCCAGGGCCCCACCACCGATCCCTCCACTAGGTCACAGCCAACTCTCTCCACTGTCCCCCCCAACAGCTCCTCCCAGACGTCACCTCTCTCCGGAAGCCCCCGCACAGATCAGAGCCCCCCTCACTCTCAGATGACAGCACCCTCTCCTTCCACGAAGATGCTGTGGCTGTCGGGTCCCACCTCCCCCCGGACCTGCAGTCCCCACGTGCCCCCCATCCACGCCAGCCTTCCCCTCGGGCCTGGGTCGGGGGGGGCTCCTCCGTCCAAGGCCAATCTCTCCCCTCGGGTCCTCTCTGCTTCCTGGGAGCACCCGCTCCATCACTGGCCCCTTCTCTCTCCGGCCCCTGCCCCAGCCTGCAAACACGCCCTGGTCTCTCACCTCCTGCGAACTAAGGTCCCTTGGCCCCAGAGCTCCCTCCCTGCCCATCACGCTTCCTCAGGCGGAGGCCTGTGCTCCTTGTCACTCTGCCTCTGTCTCTCTTACTCACCCCTCAAGGCACTAAGATCTAACAACATTCCAGTGACCTCATTTTTGCAAACCAACGAACACGCATCGGCTTCTCGCCAGAGCCCTTGGCACGCCAGTGATGCCACTGTTCGCAGCCCGCAGAACCTTAATGAGGGGATCCCGCCACGCCTCACTGCCTCTGGGTGCAGCCACCTGGACAACCCAGCCCGGTGGCAGGGCACGGGGCGCACTGTCCTGGGTAGCAATTCCAGCCTGTACACGGCGTCTCATGAACACGGCTCTGATGGGCCGACCCCTAAGACCGTCACGCGCTGCTCAACGACGGGACACGTTCAGCGTGCGCTGGACCGAACCCGGGCGGCGCAGCCCGCCACACGCCCGGGCTGCACGGCACTGCTCCCGGGCTCCTGTGCTCAGGCCACGAGCCCGTGCGGCACAGCCCTGTCCGGACGACAGCAGACTAGGCCGAGCACAGGAGAAAATGACGCAGCCCAGGCTCGGACACCACGAGGCGCGGGAGGCCGCTGCTGGCGCAATACAGCACGTTGTTTTCCAGGGAAGGTTTTCTTACAGGTGGAAAGGACGCCCTCTAAAGTTATGATTAGAAGTACAGTAAATACCCAGACCAGGCACATAGGCATGTATTGTCATTCATAAGTCTCACGCACTCGACATAGTTGTACGTGCTACGCCTTTACACCGTGGCGGTGCGGCAGGCTCGTTCACGCCGACACCACCGCGAACATGCGGACAGTGCGCTGCCCGGTGGCGTCAGGACAGCCACGGCGCGGCGTGTGGGGGCGCCGACACTGCAGCTGAAACGCAAACGCTGCACACTGCACACTCCCCTGGCGAGCCATCCCACGCTGCCCACGGGCTTCTCTGAGGCCGCAGCCCTCGCCCAGGGCCGGCACCGGCGTCTGTCCGAGGGCCAGTGTGTGGGAACAGGCCCCTCTTGCAGCGCCTCGGGTGGGCGGGCTGCGGCGGCGCTCCCGGCCACTCCGGTGACCCCGGGGGGAGAGCTCCTGCCCGCAGAGCTGGAGCGAAAGCAAGCCCCGTCCTGGAGGAGAGGTCTCGTGCAGCAGCTGCTCCCAGGAGGAAAAGGCAGGATGGAAGCTACGCTGCTTTGTTTTCGTTCTGGGCACGTGGCTCAGCCAGAGAGTCCGTGCAGAGGGTGGAATTCGCCTTGTTTACCAGTGGGATTACGGCCGCCCCGCCTGAGTCACTCTGGCTCCTACCCCGAGTTCAGAGAATGTTTTGTAAAGGTCAAGTAGCGGGGCCCCTCCCCCTGCGGTCAGAACTGGAACTCGACTCCCTGGTGCCGGAGCAGTAACAACTGTGACAATCATGTTGGACCCCCGCCCCCGCCCCCGCGGTGCACATGGGCTGCCATTCACGAAGTGGGCACACTTAGTAGGCCCATTTGACAGGCCAGAAAGCCCGGGCGTGCACGTCTCACACATGCAGGGCTTGAACACAGGGGTGCGGTGTGGTGGGGGAGGAGCACCCCAGTTCGGAGGCAGGAGGAACACGGTGACATGTCGCGGGGGGCTGAGGGCAGGAAGCTCTTCCTCCGGGCAGGGGCAGTGTGTGACGAAGGAGGCGGCTCGTGCATGCAGGGGGAAGGGGAAGGAGACCTGCGTGCGATGCCCCGACGGCGGTGCGCCAGGCTTGTCTGAACGCTTCCACGCCCCAGTTCACTGAGTCCCACGCACTGGCTGCCTCAACCGTCGCTCTTTTCCAGGGGACGCTCGGGGAGCACCTGGTCACGCGCTGGAGGGGGACTGGGTGTCTTCTCCCAACCGGCCGGCCGCGAGTGCACGAGGGCTGGAGCCTCGAGGCCCCTCCTAGGCCTTCCCGCTCACTCCTGCCCATCTGTCTCCCCGCGGTTCCCGCCCCTGCCTCTCACCACCACCTTCCGGTTCCCTCGAGCCTCCAGCGCGACCGCTGTCTCTTCCATTTGGCTCTGGACCCTCCCTCCTGGAAGAGGCCTGGACCTGCCCCCTCTTCTTGGAGCCTCGGATGGCCTTGGGAGGCATGCCTGGCCTCAGATGCCCCTCAGCACAGCTGGGGGAAGGGTGGGGGGCCCAAGCAAAAGTGGCTGTGATCTCCCTGGGCCCAGTGTCAAAGGATCGTGCTCTGGATGCCCTGGGCCTCGGCCACTCCCTCCCGCCCGCTGCATTGTTGACCGAAGGCCTGGGTCTGACGCCGGGGCAGAGGAATTTCCATTCAGCTGGGACCTCCTCAGTGGAGGAGGAGGAACGGGGGCGGCCTCTTCGGCAGTCAGTGGCACTCTCCGCTACCTAAAGTCCTCACGTTCCCGCACCACTGAGCTGGACGGCCACCATGTGACAGCACCGGGGACACGTGTCTTCCGGGACCATTTCTGAGCTGGGCAGCCGCCAAGTGCTGTTTTCTCCGTGTCCTGCGGGCAGGGGCCGGGGCGGGGCGGGGCTAACGAGCTGGGGCTCTGGCCTCGCTTAGCAGAGAGTGGTCCCTGCCGCCCGGCCTGATATGGCACGGACAGCTGGAAAAACTGACCGTGTGGCTTGACTATCTCAGAGGATTGCTCTCTTTTTCCTCAGCATAATTTTTCCATGAATAATCTTTAAAGCCCTTTAAGTGGCTGTTTCTTTAGCAGTTTTATTGGAATATATGAGAGCTGACAGTCTGTGGGGAGTGAGATATCATGTAGGAAAAAAAATCTGGTTTTCATTACATTTTTCTCAAGAAACCAACAGGCTCTGCCCAGCAGACCACTTGCTGACTGGCAGAGAACACAGCACAGGCCTCCTAAGCGTGACTTTGGCGTGGGCAAGGTCAAGGATGACAGGCGGCCATGGCGAAGACCTTGGGACCCAGAGGCAGACAGGCCTGGGCTCCCACTGGTGTTTGCCACTCGCAGGCTGAGCAAAGGGCAAGTCACCTCGCACGCACCTCTGAGCCTGAGCTGCGCGTTGACCAGGCGGGAGCAGTGACCTGCCCCGGCAGACTCCCCGGGAGGAGGAAAGGATTCGTGTCCCGCCCTCCCTCCTGCGGCGAGGGGGCCCGGGACGGGCCGGGTGCCGCAGAGCCAGTCAAACCGGAGAGCTGCTGTGCTGGGGTTCACAGCCTCGTGGGGCAGGGACAGGAGCCAGGCGGTTACACCTGGACAGACACACGCTTCAACAGGAGAACCCCAACAACATATCGGGTCCCAGCAGCAACCACCCCAACAGTAGAGCTACCCCGGCAATAAGGATGGCGGTAGTGCCAACGGCCGGCATTCCGCGAGCACCTACAAAGCGCGGGAAGTGGCGTCCCCCTCACACACGGGCACTGCTGCTGTCTCCACGCTGTGGTGGGCGCCCTGA